GCGCGGCCATTTTTTTCTCGCGGTTTTCTTTCGCGTCACGCGCGACGGACTAAGCGAAAGAGGGACTACTAGTAGACTACTATCTTGCCCACTCGGGACTACCCGCTGTGTCCCTCAAGAAAAATTTCTCCAAAAGCTATAAAGTAAATCCCTTATTTACCAAGATTATTCAGTCAAGATGGCTGGATATTGGCCCCATTCTTTGTCTGCATCTTGATAGACCTTGACTCAGTCTCTGTCCATAAACATGCAAAAAAAGAACTTGGCTGATATCCAGCCATCTGGACCTCCCGCTTGGTCAATAACCTGTATGTCTACAATGAATTAAAACTGATGGTTCCTAGTGAACTGTTTGTGACGACAGTTTCATATGGTGAGCAAAATAACAATTTGGGTAAAAAAGAAACTACAAAATGATTTAAAAATTATAATCCCATTTTATTATTTTTTTCCATTTAACATTCCTAACCAGCTTATTAATTGCTGTTATTGACCACAAAAATACCATGCACAGAAATTCTCCTTTGAAAAATTACAACTAATTAATATCATGCCCAGATCCCACTCCAGAGTGTGGGAGATCTGGGCACAAGATAAGAAACTTGATATTCACCATGCATGCTGTAAATGTCCTGACCTAGTTGCACTAGAATTTCAATTTTACACTAACACAAGGAGACTTGCGAGGCTTTGCTGCCGGCAGCACAATAAATACAATATTCAAGTAAAAACAAGAGTCTGAAAATTGGACCCCTTTTACACAAAGCTGCTTAAAAAATTGCTAACCAGTACTTTTAATTAACAAGCAGAAGATCCCATTGAAACTCAAGGGAACCCACATAAGAAGACACTTGAGCAGTAAGATGGTCTCACAACTCTGCTCAAACATCCACTATTAATAACAGTTTATACAGTGGGTAGAGAAAGTAATTTCCAAAAGTCCAAGATTTATGATGACCCTCCTTAGGGAAGAGTATGAATATTTTTGGGAACCACACAATTTCAGTACAGGCATGCGTGTATGCCAGCTAAGACACAATTTGTTTTTTCTGCTCTGATTGGTTGAGCATATTGTCTGGCTTTATTTCATTTACCACTTTACCAACAAAACATAACAGCTACAGTACATGTAGTTTAGATTCTGCCCTTATTCAGTACCTCACTGCCACATTGTTCAAAAGATTGTTTAATCTGGTAAAATTCTTATTTGCAGAGAAAAGTACTCTGACTTGTAAACAAAAGAAAGCCTGGCTAACATTAAATGTGAGGTTTTCGAGAATATCCAACCAAAGTAAGGACATAAGGTGGGGAGGGAAGGGAGGGCGTCAAAAGCCAAAATTGAAAACAAAGAACATACTAAAAGCTAAACTGTGGGGATGGGGAGTATGGATGTTTTGTGGAACATAATCCTAAAGTAGAGCTGAAAAGCTTGTGAACAACTGATTCACGAAGCAATAATATTTTCCATATTTAAGCCACTGTTTTGAACACTGTTCCGAACACTGTTCCAAACAATAATAATTATTCATAATTCATAGTGACTGACCTGAACCAGTCTGTCAAAATTTTATCAACGACTACTAAAACAAATAATAATTAACATCACAATTGGTGTTATTAAATACACATGGAATTGAACCAAGAGCAAAGAAAGATCAAGTTATATGTACTAAAATTACATACAAAAACAATTCTTTAACTTGGAAACTTACTGAGACCTTCTTGGCTTTGTTTTTTATTATCAAAATTACATAGTGGAGCACATGTAGATGAACCACTTTGTCATCAACTGTAAATAATTTTTAGTCATAAATAATTACCGCTTTAATAATTCAAAGGAATTGTGCCACCAAGAGGCACAGTTTGTGTTTTTCTCTTAAAACTGCTCAAGCT